CGGGCGCCGGCCGGGAACACGCCTGAGGCGTGGGCGCGCCTGGAGTGCCGCTTCCAGGCTGCACGCACAAGGGGGGGTTTTTGAATTAAAAAACACAAGAGGGGCTTTTTAATATTTGGAAATACTGGAATACTAGCGCTTCCTGGCTTTTCTGGGAGAATTTCTTGGGGCTTTCCAGATAGGATTTACGAGTTTTGGGGAGTTTACTGAAAGGATGGAGCGTTACCAGTCATACACGCGCTCGCTCTTTCAAAGTGCTGGTCGTATGGAGCGCTATCCGTTCCGCTTCTTTTGAAGTTACCTAACTTCAGGAAAAATCCTTTCAATCCTCAGTCCAAAGCTCCTGAAACTTTTTGTGAGATTCGTCTAATGGGTTCCAGGGAACTCGTTTAGCAATGGCTGAACAGGTTTCATCACGATCCTGTGATGAGTCAAGGGACTTCATGAGTGTGCAACATCTCTTTCAGAATTATCTGCTCTGATTCTGTAATTTCCTCGTTTACAAAAGATTCACAATCTGTACAATATAGAGAAAGTAAACATAAAAGAAGTGACTTTGCAGTTTTCGCCTATTATCTCCACTTGTTGCTGGACAAACCCAAGTTTTAAGTGATGGCATCTGCTAGATTGATTTTAATTTAGAAGGTTGTTATTTGTGTCTTTTGAAGCATATCTCTGAAGCAACATATCCAAGTTGCTTGTATCACTGTCATTTGGCAACAAGCATTGCAGTTCTTTTTTTGCACTGGAATCAAGAGGTGCAATGGTATATTGGAAAAATGTTGTCCTGTAATTGAGTTCTTGCATTTTTTTGTAAACGTCTTTTAAAATACTAAATCTCAGTCCTACAAATTGATAATTCACTTGGCATAGATATAGTTAGCATAGAGATTTACAAAGGTGGAGTTTTCTCTGTGGAGTTCAGGTGTCCGCTTGGAGCTTGACGATCAGAATAGATTTGCCTTACCTAGTTTTTATATTTACTACATGTAGGATCCATTTAGGATCCATTTAGCTCTTCAGGCTGGATTTTTTGAGATATTAATAGATGAGTATACTTTGTTGATGAGTATACAAAAAAGTTAGAAAATCTGGTTTTCAGGCCATCAAATTTCCCATTAAAATTTGGCAGGCAGCTTGCCACAAGGAGAATTTTGGAATTCAGCTTGTACCGCTAAAAAATTTCCCGTCCTGTTTCTAGGACAGCAGAGGTCTGCCTAACAGCATGTCCACAAGCAGTCTATCACAAAAAAAGGCTTTGGGAGTCAAGAAAAGTGGTATGCATTCTGCTTTGAAGCAGGAGCGTGCAGTGGGAGTCAGCTGGGGTGGGCGGTGAGGGACGCTGTTCTCTGCGTGGCAGATGAGCGCGTGGTGTGACTGCGGTTCTTGCATCACAGAGCTTAGGTGGCTCACTACAGGGTTATGGTCAAGTTTCATTGCTTGCTTCTCAGTTATTCAAGATTTCTGTCTGAGGCTGGAGCTTACTACTGATGCCCAAGTTCAGAGACACCCATCTCTGAGTGCTGGATTGGCTGTACCCAATGCTCCCGTCTTTGCCGGAGGGGATGGAAAATAGCAGCTAGGGTCAGGGCATCCCTTCTGCCTTTCCTGGCTGTAACCCCCCAGTTACTCTGTATGCAGTTACTGTTCTTCCTGTGTAGCAGAGATGGGTAGAAGCAGCTCATACTAGTCCGGGAACCTGCTGTGATCTTTGCTAATCCTCCAACGTAAATTTCTAGCTCTGTTTTTTTTTCAAAACCTTCCATTTAAACATCATCCTAGCCAGTCTAGCTGTAGGCTAGAGTCCAATTATGAGCTTCCTAATCCCGGTATCATCCTGTACCCAGTTTCCCTCATTCCCAGCATCAGACCAGTCACCTGCAGCCTCCAGTTACCCTGTCAGTTCCTTCGGGGTCTTTTGAAATTTTGGTCCTTTCTCTCTCTGCCCATCCTCACAGAATTCCTGTTTTCCTGGGTGTCATGCAAGAACAGAAGACCAGGGGTCTGAGCAAAGCAAGATGGTCCACTGAAGGGAGGAACAAAGTGAGGCACAGTGAGATTTGCACCAAAAGATGGCAGAAACCTTGCAGACAAGGGTGTATTTCTGCCTTATCTCATTTTGTGGCCACTAGTATGGATTTGTACATTTGGTCAGCCTGAAAATGTGTTTAAACACACTTTTGATGTGAAGATGTGTTCATGGGCATTTGTAAAATATATGATATGAAAACTGGACAATTAGGATGAGATTCAGCTGCAGATTAAGACACTTGAATGTCTGCACCTATCTGACTAAGACACTTACTTGTCTACATATGTGCTAGGTGGTTATGGTCTGGTTCTGGTCAATGGAGAGACCTCATCAACGCTTGCAGTGAAGCCTGGAGATTAATTCCGCCCAAACAGACACCAAGTGGCTGGTCAGCTCAATAGCTGTAGGCTCTTAACCACGCTGGCTGAATCATCCTTGAGTAAGAGGGAGTTTAGACACCCATATAGTGTCTTAATCTGGAGCTGAATCCTTCCCTCAAGGTACAAATCATTTGGTTGTACAAAGATCCCTTGTAAACTATTTAAACAGATTACAGAATGTATTTGTTAATGCAGCGTAAACTCTATGGCATTTAATATGTACTTAACTGCTCTTGTTGTAATCCAGTCTTTTTTAGATCTATCTTTCGGGTTCTGCCACTGCTCCTTGTTCTGTCTCCAGTGAATTCATCCAGTTGTGCAATGGGAAATAAAACCACTGAAATCCGTGTGAAGTATGAGAATATACTAAGCCACGACATCGATGAGCTGGTATGTAATAGCTCTTGGGCTTTCCAAAAATTATTTTTAGATGATAGCAAATAATAATAAAAAAAAGCTCTAATGTTAGCGTCTGATAAAAGACCAGTTTAAAATCACACATTATCCTGGAATAGTGGCTTTATTTGAGGGGGTGTGACAATTCAGTCATTTTAAAATCTCTGAAATCTGTGGATGCTGCCTATTAGCATGTACAAATACTGTGATACAGGTATTTGTGCCTGTGCACCATGTAGTTAGACACAAGTACTATTTGGCCCTAAATATATATATACACATATATAGTGTGGATGATCTTAAAGGTCTTTTCCAACCTAAACGATTCTATGATTCTATAATATATTACATTAAAAAGTACTCTTTTCTGCAGTAATTTCATGACTACTTCTCTTTATATCTTCTTATCAAGAGAAGAAAGCATTACACAACCTGTAATTTGTTCTAATTGTAGACTTCTTGACTGAAGTTTTATGTTGTCCTTTGAATACAAATGCAGAGGCACAAAATTCATACAATAGAAGTTTATTTGTATTTTACCTATTAATATATCTTGTTTAGCCAACAAAGAATCAACAGCAGAGAAAAACTTAACTTTCTCAGTTGTAGATCTCCTCCATTATGGCTTTATCAGCCAGATTTATTACAACTTTGCAGAACAGTATCATAACAGTTTACCAATCCATGCCCAAAACCTACCTTCCAACTCTTCATCATGAATTATTAACAATTAAATTAATCTGTCAAGAACACTTTCATTGGAGAAACCACTTTACATAGTTGGATTAGCAGAGGCATTTCTATGAAAATGGGATTTTTCACCATTCTGTTGCAGGCTTAAATCAAGATCTGTTTGCATGAAATACAAGCGATACACAGTGCTTTCCCAAAGGTGAAATCAGGAGCCATTGTATTTCTTCACACTTACAATCCACCGCCATCCTTCAGAGCATTATGGCAGTAGTTTCTAACCTTTCTTTACCAAGACACATCAGCCCTCATCTGGAAACAGAATATCTTTAGGGTCAGGGAACGATCATTTAATCTTCAAAAACATTCTGATCATGTTGTGTTTGTTGAGATAACAAAGAGAGAAGAGTACTTCTCTCTTCTCAATGACCTTATCCTGAACAAAGCACCAAAGTTGGGGAAAATATTCACGGCCATGTTAGAACAGGTAAGTAGCCCCTTTAGTTGTCATCTTATTTCTGACAGAGACAAGTGTTTCCTAGAGAACAAAAATAAACCCTGTTGGTGAGCAGATAGCTGACCTAAAAGAGAAAACCGTATGACAGGAATAACAGCCTCTGGGAGGCAGGTCCTGCTGTCTTCCTGTGGTGGAGAGCCATGAGGCGCATCCCAGCTCTGCTGGAGCTGCTGGGCCAGGGAAGCTGGGGGCATGTCCCAGGCTGGAGGTGGCAATGCCTGGCCACCGCCCAACTGCAGAATGAAGCTTGATGCGCTCTGTGCCCCAGGGTGCCCCATCAAGGATTTGAATGAAGCCATGCCATTCTTCCAGATACATTTGGAAAGTCTTTATCCTTTTTATTGTAATAAATATTACAGAGTTTTTCAGGAGATATAGTTTTTTAGGAGACTGTATGAGAACTAAAACTGTTATCCAAATAATTAATTAATTAATTAAAACCTTAATGAATTAATGTTTGTGAAAGGTAATGGGAATGTACTGAACTCTGGAGCTTTTACTTCCTAGAATAGGCATGCACAAGCGACTACTGTGCAAGTTTCTTCATTTTTCTGTCTTTATTTTTCCCAGTTTAAGAGAGATTCGTCTTCTATGTAAAATCAGTGTATAGTCTTGTCGCTATAACTTAACAGCAGGTACTATGGACAGTGCTGTTTGGGTGATAGTAACTGCCCACTAAGCACTTTCCTGCAATTGCAGAGCCAAAGTCCATAACTTTCAGTCCCTCAGCCTGATGTTCGGAGGCAGTTATGGAGATGACTAGTGGGTTATATACTAAACTTCCATAAGTTAATTTAATTTTTACTAATGCCTTTTCTGAGGCCAGGATTTCCCTTAGGTTGCTTTAGTCACAGCCAATAAACTGCCTTCAGAAATGGTTACTGTACCTTATACTAATGATGACCTGAGGAAGTCAGTGAGAATGGGTAAATCCCTTAGCAGTTAGCAAATGAAACCACAGATATATAGGGTTTAGGGTGATTATTTATTTTTAAATCTTGGTGCTGTATGACTGCAGCAAAACTTTGTTCTGTTGCGATACAAGCAGAGATGTGCATTATCTTCCAAAGTTTTTTTTTCCATTTTTGTCAGTGAATATTTGACTCCCTAAACTCTTGGTTTTGAAAACACTTCCTGGATGAAGTTCTGTTCATCTTGGATGAAGTTCTGAAGTACAGGCAACGTTACACAAAAATCTGCAGAAAAACTTTAAGAGCTGTCTGGTGTGTTCATATGCATGCCCAAGTTAGGAGATCTAACAGTATTGTCATGTGACTTGGCTCACTTGATTAAAAGGCCTTTTTTAAAGCCCTTCTGGTTGTGTTAGGCTATCTGGATATGGGCTGAAGAAGAAAGTGAAGGAATTTTCTTGAGTTGGGTTCAGTTGTCATCTCGATGACAACCATATAAGTAGAAGGAAAAAAACCCAGAGAATAAACCATTGATAAAAGATTATGGTCATGCGAAGGGAGCAAGTGATACTGCTTAGGACATCTTCTGTTAGTGCATATGTAAAGTGAATGTTACAATCTGTTTAGATGCCTGGGGCATGTATTTATTGAGACAAACATTGACAAACATTGTATTTGATGTCTGTGTAAGATTTAAATATTCCTGCATGTTCTAAAATACCAAAGAACCAAGTAATTCAATAAAATATGAAGATTTAAAGTGAATAGATTTGTGTCCAGTTCTGGGCTCCCCCAGTATTAGAGAAATACAGAGCTACTGGAGAGAGTCTAGCAAAGGGCCACAAAGATGATGAAGGGACTGGAGCACCTCTCCTATGAGGAAAGGCTGAGAGAGCTGGGACTGTTCAGCCTGGAGAAGAGGAGGCTTGGGGGGATCTCATCAATGTGTAGAAATACCTGAAGGGAGGAGGCAAAAAGGATGGAGCCAGGCTCTTTTCAGTGGTGCCCAGTGGCAGGACCAGAGGCAATGGGCACACGCTGAAACACAGGAAGTTCCCTCTGAACATCCAGAAACAGTTCTTCACCGTGAAGGTGACCAAGCACTGGCACAGGTTGCCCAGGGATGTTGTGGAGTCTCCATCCTTGGAGATACTCAAAAGCCATCTGGACATGGTCCTGGGCAACTGGCTCCAGGTGTCCCTGCTTGAGCAGGGGGGTTGGACCAGATGACCCCCAGAGGTCCCTTCCAACCCCGACCATTCTGTGATTCTGTGTGATTCTGTGAATGACTCTAGAAATTGTAGCTGGATTGGGGTTTTCTTTGCCTGCTTGCCAAGGAAAAGCTCAGAACTGTACTCTGACCCTGCTACGCCTGAAGAGATGCTACAGAACAATTTAGTGCTGACATCGCCAGCTGTTAGCGAGAAACTTGGCTCACTTGATTAAAAGTACTTCCGTGTTTAAACATATATGATATTTTACAGGTAAATATGTCTGCAGAGTATCGTGACAGGTGCTGCAAGAATAAAAAGCATGAAAATAGCAAAGTGTTTTTCTGCAATGATACTCAGGTAAAATTTAACTTCTCAGAATTTACTTTAGAGAATACAAACTCAAATGGGTTCTTTGTACAGTCCAGTCCCTAAAGAACATATTGTGATAGAGAGTAATATTACCTTTTAATAGTCAAATCATGATATTCAGGGTTGTTCCTTTTTTGAATTTGGAATCGCACAATTTGTCAAGTAAACTGATATATTTAAAATTAAAACATTCAGCAATTTCATATCCAAGAAATGTTTTTTTTTCCTACTATAAAGATTCTTTTATATTTTTAATCCAAAATAGTACAGAAAACTTATTTTGTTTTGCCAATGGAAGTAAACATAAAAATTTCCCAACATCTGCTTTGATTTTTTTTATAGAAAATCATACTAGCTAAGCTTTTCACTTCACGTCTGAAAGCTTTAATAGTTTGGGCAGATCTCAAATGACAGAAAGCACAAGTGTCAGCTGTTGCTGCAGATTTTATCATGACTTGATAAAAGGACTGACTCCAAAAATCATTCCGTTTTCCTGACTGCAGCAGCTGATTTCATTATGGCTACGATTTCTCCCTAACATCCTTATGCTATTGTTATTACTATTAAAATTGATACTTTAAATATTTTTAAGAGACGGCAGGTAGGTCAGATTAGTTATGGGGTTTATTGGAAAAGACTGGCGCTATGAAAGCAAAAGAAACTAATGATAACTGATGGAGGCTTTTTTTAAAGACAAACCAACATTATAAAGAATTAATGGTGCACAGGCTTCTCAGGACATATTTTTCTTGCTCTCTTTACAGGAAATAGAATCACTACAGAGTATGGCATGCAACATGTTCAGATTCTTTCATAAGCAAAAAATCAGCAAAGACTTTAGATGGAAAGCAGCATTAGTCGCATGTAGGACATTACAGGTTCTACAGTGCAAATGTGAAAGACATAAAAAAGAAAAGGTGAGTGGTACTGACAGTCTACAGTTTATTGGAAGTATGTGGCTTGTTCCTTAGAGCTCTTCAACACAGACTATTATATCTACCTCTCAAAGGTACAACTATCATGCACATGTTATACGCATGACGAATTTTGCTCTGTATAGCATATGTCTTGTAATAGACATTAAGCCTAGTGCAAAGGCTAAGTAAGACAATGATCTGGAAGTCTACAGTGAAGAGATATACTCTGGTTCAGTACTGAAATACCCAAGTTAATTCTCCAGTAAAAGACAAAGACCACACTTGTGTGAAGAAGGCCTTTAACTCTTGTAGTGTATAAGATCATAGTCGTTACTTCTCATTGGGGTTCTACCCTAAGATTAATGTTTAATTTGGTTTGTTTCAACAAACAATTAGCGGGAGTTTCTCTCCTTTCCATAATCCCTTTGATCTTTATTTTAAACACAATACCTCAAACTCAACAAGAACAGTTAGAAATGAAAATACTTGGATTTTTAGTCATTGGCTGAATCTGCTCTTTCATGTGTCACTCAAATCTGGCGCAATGATCTACAGACTACCATAGCAAAGAGTGTTTTTTTAAGTTACCTATTGAACACAAAAATTTGACCAACATCAAAAAGCCTTCCCATAGGCACCAAAGGATATAATTCCTTATGATTGGCTTAAATAGTTGGATTGAAGGCTGCATTTAACTCATTCTTTTTCTCCTCAAAATGGAGAAACTCTTATAATCTAGACCAGATCTTCAAAGTAATGTTGGTGTCTATATTTTGCTTAGCCACCTGTGGTGAATCCAACGTTTGCCTTACCATAAAAGGTATCCCAGTTAAGTCATAAAAGTCAAAGAGCGTTACCCTTGAAACTCCTGCCTAACCTCGTGGATGCCTGGTTTTATTTGAAGACCAATTAAAGTAATTGGTAAAAGCCATGAACAGTCATTGAGTATGGACAAGAACCACAGTCTTCTTGTCTCTGGGTGAGATCCTGAACACTAGGCTACAGCACCAACCCCTGGGACCAGGGCTGCCTTGTTCCACCAGTCTCAAGGTACCACACATGTAGTCCTATCTTTTGAAGTTTGGTTCACAATTTAATTGGCTTTATTTTTCCATGTCTTCAAATAACGGAGGATAAATTTTAAACCACTGACAGACGACGTACATGTTCTCAGTTGCACACACTGGTTTCAGCTGTCCATGTTTGCTGTGTGTTAAAGCCGCATTCTCTCAGTTCAGTGGGCAGGGGTGGCAGCAGGGCTGTGCTCAGAGGGAGAACACCGACGTGATGCAGGCTGCGTATGGCCACAGCATGTTTTGTGAGTAGCCCAGCTTTCTGGCTTAACTACCATGTAAGGTACTTCCATTACTTATTGAGCTGTAATGGAATCAGTTTGTTTTAAAAGAGGTCTATATGAAAAGAATAAGCACTTCTCAATTAACAGTACAACCTGTTCTTTTTCAGGTTTGCATGCAGATAAATATGCATAATAAAGAAGATACAGAAACAGGTGAACAGTCCAAAAAGAAATGTAACCAAGAATTTTGTGAACTGAAAGAAAATATATCTAGCCTTCGATCCTGCTGGAATAAATTTGAAAAAATAATTTCCAGGTGATTCCAGGTGAATCCTGCTCTTTTCTTTCAAAGTGGCATTACTTGGTATCTTTGCATTTTATATGCATTCTTCGAGTAACTCTGCTCGTTTATATGAACACTTTATGCCAGAATTCTGATGGAAAGCTACTGTACCTTGTTCCTGGAGATGGAATAAACAGAAACGGCCAAACCAAGCTGCTGAAGTCCAAGAAGTGGAAATAAAAGACCAGTGTTTGAAACAAAGAACTCTGCAGAAGGCTGTGTCCCACCTTTGTGCTCTGGAAACTACTTCGAATTTTCTGATCTTTCGAGTAACTTTATAATACCGTCATATGAAAGCAATCTACTTACATGTCTACTGCAATTTCTAAAAACATGTTACAAGCAAGTTGCAGGTGAAGAAAACATGGAAAAGTCGCTGGTTTCTTTATATCTGTATGAAACGCATCAAGGACCAAAAGGAACAATTTAGCAAACAAGCAGCTGACCTTGGGTCTATTCTGCTGATGCAGTTATGTTTTCAGTGTGGGTATCTAATGGGTCTGCAAACTGATTTAGGTTTGGAGAAACAGGGAAAAGGTTAACTTTTTGAAAAACTTCGGAAGGGTACTGATTTTTGAGAGATGTAGCACACTTCTACTGGCTGAAGTGGAGGCAAGACAGGAAGGCCTATGGAAGGCAAAAAAGGAGATGCCTGAATAGAAGTTTGTTCAGCTGACTGGTAACAGCGCTAGCCTTATGTGTTTGGTTATCCTAGAGTTAGCTGCAGGAGGAGCTAGAATTTCTTACCTTCAGATTGTGATTTCTTGTATGCAATTATTTTATATAACGCGTTTAAAATGTTAGACAAACGTGACTTAAAATGTGTGAATGTTTTCAGAGAATAATATATTGGCATTTAACTAATAAAGTGTTCATATTTAATTTTGGATAAATAGAAGTATTTTTATAGTTGTTTATAACTCTTTTGCAGTTTCTTACTTTGATATAACAACTCCTTTGGTAATAAAATATTTGTCTTATATGGAATTGGGCTGTTGACTTTTTGGGTGTCATTACTCCTTTTTTAGCTTTTTTTCACAGCTAGTCATTAAAAGCACAGCTGGTAATGTAACCTCTAGCTGCTTGGGACTTCCTATTATAACATAAGAATTTCTTAATTGCTTGTAACCTGGCCAGTGTAGGTAAACATTTCCATATCAGGCATCTGCCTTGGACTAAATACTTTGGGAAATCTTTAGTTAAGTCAGCCTGTTGTTTCCTGGTTCAGAGTAAGGTAACATATATTGTTTTATCTGTGCTAGAAATTTTCCATGGAACTACTCTGAAAAATGTTTGGTATTCAGAACAAAGACCTGGAAAAATGGTGGGATGTGCTTCAAAGAACTGTATAGATCTCTTTTGACTGGAATAGGATCTGCTGTACTGAATCCATGAAACCCAGCGTGTCCTACTGCTAATGGCAAGAGAAAAGGTTAAGAGCGAAGCAAACATACTGTTAGGCTTTCCTGGAATACACCCCCTCCAACCCTCCATCTGTTTATGGTGAAGAGACTTCTTGAGGCAGTAGTGCCACCTTTGTAAAACCGTGATTGAGACTTCCACATACTCTCTTTCGCTCTTGATCTAAGAGATTGCAACTTTAACTCCAAACACTGAAAAAACCTCCAAACCCAAGTCATAACTCTTATGTAATAGGAAAGGGAAACAGATTTCCCAATATCATATTGCAGGGAAGAGAATGTAACCGCTATTGTAAGGACTTCTCTGGAAATCCCTTCTACTGAAAGAAGTCCCAGGAGACTGAGGATAAAATTTGTCTTTGAGACTGAAGAGCAGTTACTTTTTTTTTTTTTTCTTTCTTTCTTTTTTAAAATTCAGGAACAGTTGGAAGCCAACATTTATTTCCCAATAACCACTTTGCAAGTTAAGAGCAGTGGGAATTAAAAACACAGAGATGCAATATTAGCTACTACAAACTGGAAGATCAGTCAGCTTAAATGACTTAAGCAGCAGCCCACAACTTAAATCTTGAGGCAAACCAAGCAGTTTCAGGTCTATCCTGGGGAAAAGATGAAGGTTCAATCCAGAGCAAAATTAAAATTGAGTGATTCTGAAATAGTTTTTTCCTGACTGCTTCTCTTAAATGTCCTGCCTGTCCGATTCTTGTTGCCAAATTTCCTGAGTCACCAGTTACATGCAAAGACTAACTGTTAAACGCAGTGACTTGTACTCTTTGATTTGTTCCTTCCATTTGAGAACATTCTCTGGTCTCTCCTGAAATTACAAATGTGACAACAATAAACTGTTCTGCAGGAATGGGCAAAGGGATGAAAACCTTGCAGGGTATCACCACCACGCTCACCTCCCTGCCACTTTCATCTATGTGTTTATTTATTTGGCCACAGCAAAGAAGGAATACGAGTAGGTCAAAATCATGATTTAGAAATACATGGAATTTATGGGGACGTGTCAAGGGAAAACAACTTAGGTATTTGAATGAGTAAAAACAATTTTAGCACTGTTACTGCAAGGAATTATGAGAAAACATAAAGGGGTGACTAACCCTTGTGAGCAAGATAATGTTGCACATTTCTAACAGCAAGAATGAGTTAAGTGCTCTGGCTTATAATGAGAAGGAAGAATTTCTGGTGTTTAGGAAGCCAGATCAATGAAAGCTGCTGAAAGAGAATGCTCAAATCTTGCTTTACACCATCAAACAGGTGTTTACAGCTGTAGTTCTTTAGCTAAGGACACAGGAGGAAACCTCTCCTGGCTGGTTATACGTTTCCTTCCATCTCTTCAGCTTTGCGCTGAGCAAAAGAGATGTTGGCTTTATGACAGGTTTCACCCAGCAGCTCCTCAGGTTTTTGTTGGGTTTTGTTTTGGTTTTGTCTGTTTTTCTCCTGCTATCTGATTGGAATGGTTCATGGTAAATTAGAATAAAGACAAAGTGAGCATGAGGAATATCATGGAATCTCAGCGGTGATGAGACTTTGCAGACTTTTGGCACATAAATGAATTTCATCCAGCATGAAGGGGAAACTTATCTGCCTTCCTCTGAAAAGGGTGTGGTGAAGTAAACAAAAGAGCCCATAGGAGGAACTTCCCCTGAAAAAAAGGAATTGGTCTCTACTCATCTGTATTTAGCCAAAAAAAAAAAAAAAAAATCAGGAACCCAAACCCTTATTATGATTTCTGCTCACATAAGTAAGCTTTACAGGAAAAATACAACTTCTGCTTTTTTTCCTGCTTAATCATTTCATCATCTCTCATGAAGGAGAAGGAACCCTGATCAAGCTTAGGTTATATATTATACCTTACAGCCTGATAAAAGGAGACGAAAGAGGAGACCAAAGAAAGAGGAGACCAAAGAGAAAAAAGAAAAAAAAGAATTATTTACTACAGGTACCACAGTGATAGGTTCTATATAAACTAAAGTCTCCGTACAGTTGGGAAAAAGAAGAGATACAGAGTTAACTTTATATAAGCAGATCACACTGATTTAAGTATCTGGTATAGAGTATTTTTCAACGTGAGTGAGGAATCCAAATCTCATCTCGCAAGTCAATTAAAAAAACCCTATCCTCTGACAAGAATAACTAAGTGGTTCTCTCTGAACTACTAGAAGACACTGAATGGTCCTCACATCAGGTCTGGTGTACTTGAGACCAAAGACATCAGAATATTCATAAGGCTGAAATGATGCTACCTACCCCTATGCTGTTTTATTTAAGACAATTTCACATTTGGCTACAAAAATGTGTGCATCACAAAGTTTTAATGGCATATCCGCTTTATTGTTAACAAGTTACAAATTAGCATTAGATGGTGATTTACATTTATTAATTAAAACAGAACGGAAACTTTAAAATAAACATAATATACCAAGTAAGATGCAAATAAGTCCAAGAATTCTGAAAAAAACCCCACACCAACCCACTGGATAGTCAAACCCACAAATATTAATGTACTGAGGGGCAAGGCAAACATAGTAAATGCAATGCTGACAAAATTAATCACCTCAAGCACATGAATGAACACTTCATTTAAAAACATGGAACATCAATAAATAAACTTACGAAGATACATACTAAGCATTATATGAAGGATAAACACCAAGGGTTTGAGCAATCAGATGGAATAGGTATTGTAACAGTCATAGAATACTCAGCACTTTACAGATCAGACCCAAATCCATTCACATTTCTGCCAGAAATCCAGATACAAACAGAGAACCATGGTAAACCATGCACTACTATTTAGAGCTTAAGTTCACTATTCAGCTATATTAAACTGAATATTTGATTTGCTGACTCAAAAGCTAGTGTTCACATTGGAGAAATATGATTTCCCTATTGATCATTTTTGTGAAGAAGAAACACTAATTAAGAGAAAATCTAAATAAGCTGTTTTCTGGCAATATGAAATGGAATGGGGCTAAGTAGGATCCTCCAGAAATGTGTATTCTGGAATGACATAAAAAAAACCCAACCCACCGAACTAGTACGCAAGAGTAATCTCTTACACTGTGAATATTGGAAAGAAAATATCAACCAAGTAACTGCCAAATACAGCTAGAGAATCTTTTACCTAACATTTCTTCCAACAACACAATTAGGTAACTCAAACCTTATTCAGCAAGTTGGGGAAAAAAAAAAACCCACAAAACAAAATGAAAAAAACAAAAGCAATAAAACCATCATAAGTTGGAATGAGCTGTACTTGAAAGGCGATAAAACTATTTTCACCAGAGTCACCAAAACCAATTTCAGCAAAGATGAAAATTTTACCCTGTCATACAACCCATATAATTATTCATAGCTCAGTCAAACTGAAAAGAATTAAAGTTGCAAAAAGTGCTCTTACAAAACACAAATTTGTCAGCCAAGATTAAAAAAGAACTTGTAACGAGTTTGTTCTTTGCACATACAAGGTCTATGTGATGGAAACTAGCACTTCTTAAGAACTCTGCAATACGTAGACAATACCATTTCATTTTATACTCAGGCTAATTAC